GTCTGTCCTCAGTCTGTTGGTACGTCATCTCCTCCGTGTGTCTCCTGGTTGGTTTATCTCTCTATCTCTTCCTTATGGTTCTAACCTTCTCAGTTTGTGTGTGGTTCTCTGTGGTCGTGGAGTGTTTTGTTGCTTTCTGTCGTCCTGTTAGTGTCGGTGTCTCTTGACTCTCTGAGTGTATGTGTGTTAAATAGATCGGTGTCTCTATGATATTGAAGAACCATTTATCCGTAAGCTGTCTGTCGGGTCTGTCTGTCTTGTGTGTGTGTGTGTGTGTGTGTGTGTGTGTGTGTGTAATAATAATAATAAACGGTTTATTAATAGAGTTGCAGCCGGTGGCTGAAAATATACAAACTTTCATGTGATTTAGACATAATAATATACGTTCAATACATTTACAGGGCTGTACAGTACATAAATCAGGAGCTGTTTATTATTTTAACAATAGATGGGATGGTGCTATTCTTATATCTATCAGTGCGGGCTCTTATGGGCTGAATTTTGTTGTAGTGGCGGACTGCGCGAGGTGGGCGGGGGACTGCCGGTGGCAGGGGGTGGCGATTACGAGGATGGTGCAGTAGTCCACTGCCAAATCCTGCTAGTGCGTGGTGGTGGAGGACACTGAGGGATGGCATTTCCAGGGAGGAGAGAGCGTTGTTGTAGCCCAAGTAGTCTGTGTGTTTGTGTGTGTATCCTAGATGTGAGGTTGGTTAGGGAGGGCTGAGGGACTTCTATGCCCTCTTCCTGAGTTGCTTCTTTGGCAAGGCGATCAACAGTGTTACAGGCATTAGTGTGTTGGATGGCGGGGAAATGTTGAGGGTAGGAGGAGCGGTGAGCTTTGCCAGCGCGGAAGTTCCGTCACTAATAAGAGCTTCCGTCATTCAGTGGGGGCGCGGGAAGCAGCACCCTCATGGACGCCCGCGGGGATGGCTGTGCTCTTCGTATTTTTGGAGAAGGCGGCCAAGTCGTGGACCCAGATCTTCCTGAGAGTCCGGGAAGAGGAAACTTGTTATCCCCAGAAAAACGAGCATGTGAACACCATCCTAGGGTGACAAACAAACAACTGGGCATCGCTTCATGAAGTGTATCAAGATGGCGGCATTCCTTTGACAGGCTCCAGTGGCGCAATCGGTTAGCGCACGGTACTTATACGACAGTGTCTGAGCCATGCCGGGGTTGTGAGTTCGAGCCTCACCTGGAGCAGTGGTTTTGTCTGTCTGTGTGTCTGTCCTCGGTCTGTTGGTACGGGTTCGCTGGTCTGCAAGTCTCTGTGTGTGTATGTATAACACTCCTCTGTTTTCTGGATCATGTATACACACTCTAATCTAACCTTGTGGTCGTGGCTGTTATTGATCGGGTGGCTGTACCGCTGACTTCGGTATTTTGTGTCTTGTCACATTTTCACTCCCCAGGCCCTCTCTCTCTCTCTCTCTACCCTGTATAGTCTCGGGTCATCACAGTTATACACAACCCGTCCATAGCCCCTGTCTGTGTAGCTGGTGACTGTCTCTGTGTACATGGTTTAAGCCTGACTAATATCTGTTGGTGGCAGATATTACCAAGTGTTCAGGGGATTGTGTCCGCAACTGTACACACGTCACTGGAATAGTACGTGTTCTCTTAGCCTTTGACTGTGTGATATAATTTGACCTGGAAGTAGATAATGTTTTTAATTGGAGTTTTCTTCATGGTTATATCTATCTATCTATCTATCTATCTATCTATCTATCTATCTATCTATCTCTTTCATTTTAGTCTCTTTAACATTGATTTCTCTCTCTCTCTCTCTCTCTCTCTCTCTCTGTCTCTCCAGGGAAAAAAAACATAGATATTAGTACAAATTTAATACAGACAAATATTTACACATCGTAACATAACAGGAAACTTGTAGCAACAATTTTAAGTTACTGACCACCTGAAGACTCGTCCCCCCTTTCTTCCTTCCTTCCTTCCTTCCTTCCTTCCTTCTTTCCTCTAGATTATTAGATTATTTTACCTGAGAATAACCACCCTAATGATTTACCTGGTTGATTAGGTCGGGTTGGTTGGGTTGGGTAGAATTGGGTTGGGTTTGGTTAGCATTAGGGTGGTTAATCTTCAGGTGAACCAGAGTTAAACTGGGAGAAGCTCTGGTGAGTTAATCATACCTTGAAATTACTAACAGTATAAAGTTTTGGCCTGTGTGTGTGTGTGTGTAATAATAATAATAATAATAATAATAATAATAATTAACGGTTTATTGAAAAAGTTCTGCAGCCCGAAGGCTGAAAATATACATTGGACATAATGCCTTATTACATACATTGGTGGTTTAACAAAAGCCTTCATTAGAGAAAGGTAAAGGAACATACAGTGAACATACAGATTAATGTAGGTGTTCAACAGCAAACACGTAGTGTAGTAATTCCCTCCCAGATGGTGTTAGGAGGAACTCACGTGGTGTAGTAGTTCCCTCAGATGCTGTTATGAGGGGCCTGACGTGGTGTAGCAATTCCCTCACAGATGGTGTTATGAGGGACCTCACGTGGTGTAGTGATTCCCTCACAGATGGTGTTATGAGGGACCTCACGTGGTGTAGTAATTCCCTCCCAGATGGTGTTATGAGGGACCTCACGTGGTGTAGTAACTCCCTCACAGATGGTGTTATGCGGGACCTCACGTGGTGTAGTAATTCCCTACCAGATGGTGTTATGAGGGACCTCACGTAGTGTAGTAACTCCCTCACAGATGGTGTTAGGAGGGACCTGACGTGGTGTAGTAACTCCCTCACAGATGGTGTTAGGAGGGACCTGACGTGGTGTAGTAATTCCCTCACACCTGACCCTCACAGATGGTGTTATGACCTCACGTGGTGACAGGTGGTGTGAAACAGATGGTGTTAGCACCTCACATGGTGTAGTAATTCCCTCACAGATGGTGTTATGAGGGACCTCACGTGGTGTAGTAATTCCCTCACAGATGGTGTTATGTGGGACCTCACGTGGTGTAGTAACTACCTCACAGGTGGTGTTATGAGAGACCTGACGTGGTGTAGTAATTCCCTCGCAGATGGTGTTAGGAGGGACCTCACGTGGTGTAGTAACTCCCTCACAGATGGTGTTATGAGGGACCTGGCGTGGTGTAGTAGTTCCCTCACAGATGGTGTTATATGAGTGAGGTGTGGTCCCAGGCCTTCCTATCGTAGACGGATTAACACATCGCTGGTTGTTGTTGGGTCTCAGGGGCAGTTATCACTGGGTACCTGGGACCTCACTGTGTGAAGGTTAACTTGGGTACGACTCGGCTGTTACTGTTGAGTTGTTCTCACTGACTTAAGCACTGTTCACCACAGTTCACCTTTGTTCAACACTGGCTCCATTCCTTTCCTAAATGAAATTGTAACTTCTGGCGAGAACTTGTTGATATTCCGGTGGGGAGGAGGGTTCAGGGGAGGGAGTTGGTATGGGCCAACTTAACAGTTGACCTGGCAGCTGCCAGAGCAGCGCCAGATACGTCTTGACCCTTCAGTGGTCAAGGATGTAGTGTGTGTGTGTGTGTTTGTGCACCTGAAATTCCAATACAGTGGGCCTTACAGTGAGTCAGGAGTCAACTTACCCCAAAAAATTGCCACACTGACCCCCCCCACATACACACACCACGTCAAGCCCCTCATAACACCACCTGTGAGGGAGTTACTACACTACGTGTCTGCTGCTCAACACCTCAGCTCACATGATCTACGTGACCTCCGCTGTAAACATTAATCTGTATGTTCACTGTATGTTCCTTCACCTTTCTCGAATGAAGGCTTTTGTTAAACCACCAATGTATGTAATAAGTCATTTATGTCCAATGTATATTTTCAGCCTTCGGGCTGCAGAACTTTTTCAATAAACCGTTTATTATTATTATTATTATTATTATTATTATTATTATTATTATTATTATTATTATTATTATTATTATTATTATTATTATTATTACACACACACACACACCGCATCTAGCCCATACGAGCACGTACTGATCGCTATAAGAACAGCCCAGTCCCAACCATTGTAAAAATTATCAATAACTTGTAATCAACCAGTGTGTTCACTCCCAGTCAATCTTACTTTTTGCATTGTCACTATGTTGAAATGCCTTGTAGTATGAGCTTCTCCCCACCTGGTTATTATATATCATATTTGTATCACTTATGTTACTTGTATATTGTTTGTAAATCAAGAGACCCATTCCCAATTATGTAACTGTATATTTTCAGCCTTCCGGCTGCCATGCTCTTTCAATCAACCGTTAATTATTATTTATTTATTATTACACACACACACACACACACACACACACACACACACACACACACACACACACACACTATACAAGCTAAATATACAATAAAAACAAATTAATATACCGACTGGGAACCTTACCAACTAATCCTTTAAGGACGATGATTTAATCCTTTCGGACTCAAAGGGTTAATTAAATCCAGTTCTTAATAAGAAACTTAACTGCAATACTCAAAGTTCTGTACAGTGATAAATTTCAATGTCCCTTCTTAGTGTTTCCAGTCACTGTTCACGGTTGGTTCTGGTTATGGAAGGACTGTAGGGGTGACGTGTCTATCCAGGCCGTCTTTGAGCGCGAGTACTGAGAGCTCCCCCCTACGCTGTCTACTAATGAGTACAGAAGTGACACCTGAAGGGAGAAGGAGGAGGTGGAAGCAACAGGGGGGGGGGGGCGCTTGTAGTTGACATACGTGAGTTGTCTTGTTACTGAGTACTGGGATTGGTTCGTGGACAAAAGGATTAAATGGCCAACGTCTGTTTACAGGTTGTCTTGAGGAATTTGTTGTCTTGAGGAAGTTGTTGTCTTGGGGAAATTGTTGTCTTGGGGAAGTTGTTGTTTTGAGGAATTTGTTGTCTTGAGGAATTTGTTGTCTTGAGGAAGTTGTTGTCTTGAGGAAGTTGTTGTCTTGAGGAAGTTGTTGTCTTGGGGAAGTTGTTGTCTTGGGGAAGTTGTTATCTTGAGGAATTTGTTGTCTTGAGGAAGTTGTTGTCTTGAGGAATTTGTTGTTTTGAGGAAGTTATTGTCTTGAGGAATTTGTTGTCTTGGGGAAGTTGTTGTTTTGAGGAAGTTGTTTTTGAGGAAGTTGTTTGTTTTGGGGAAGTTATTGTCTTGAGAATTTGTTGTCTTGAGAATTTGCATCTTAAGAGTTGTTGTCTTGAGGAAGTTGTTGTCAAGGAATTTGTTGTCTTGAAGTTGTCTTGGGGAGTTGTTGTCTTGAGGAAGTTATTTGTCTTAAGGAAGTTGTTGTCTTGAGAGGAAGTTGTTGTCTTGAGGAAGTTGTTGTCTTGGGAAGTTGTTGTCTTGGGGAAGTTGTTATCTTGAGGAATTTGTTGTCTTGAGGAAGTTGTTGTCTTGAGGAATTTGTTGTTGAGGAAGTTATTGTCTTGAGGAAGTTGTTGTCTTAAGGAAGTTGTTGTCTTGAGGAATTTGTTGTCTTGAGGAAGTTGTTGTCTTGAGGAAGTTGTTGTCTTAAGGAAGTTGTTGTCTTGAGGAATTTGTTGTCTTGAGGAAGTTGTTGTCTTAAGGAAGTTGTTGTCTTGAGGAAGTTTTTGTCTTGTGGTATTTGTTGTCTTGAGGAAGTTGTTGTCTTGAGGAAGTTGTTGTCTTGAGGAATTTGTTGTCTTAAGGAAGTTGTTGTCTTGAGGAAGTTGTTGTCTTGAGGAAGTTGTTGTCTTGAGGAATTTGTTGTCTTGAGGAAGTTTTTGTCCTGGGGAAGTTGTTGTCTTGAGGAATTTGTTGTCTTGAGGAAGTTGTTGTCTTGAGGAATTTGTTGTTTTGAGGAAGTTATTGTCTTGAGGAATTTGTTGTCTTGGGGAAGTTGTTGTTTTGAGGAAGTTGTTGTCTTGAGGAATTTGTTGTCTTGAGGAAGTTGTTGTCTTGAGGAAGTTGTTGTCTTGGGGAAGTTGTTGTCTTGGGGAAGTTGTTGTTTTGAGGAAGTTGTTGTCTTGAGGAATTTGTTGTCTTGAGGAAGTTGTTGTCTTGAGGAAGTTGTTGTTTTGAGGAAGTTGTTGTCTTTGAGAAGTTGTTGTCTTGGGGAAGTTGTTGTCTTGAGGAATTTGTTGTTTTGAGGAAGTTATTGTCTTGAGGAATTTGTTGTCTTGAGGAATTTGTTGTCTTGAAGTTGTTGTCTTGAGGAGTTGTTGCCAGGAAGTTGTTGTCTTGAAGTTGTTGTCTTGGGGAGTTGTTGTCTTGAGAGTTGTTGACAGGAAGTTGTTGTCTTGGGGAAGTTATTTTTGTCTTGGGGAAGTTGAGTTGTTTGTTGTCTTGAAGTTGTTGTCTTGAGGAAGTTGTTGTCTTGAGGAAGTTGTTGTCTTGAGGAATTTGTTGTCTTGAGGAAGTTTTTGTCCTGGGGAAGTTGTTGTTTTGAGGAAGTTGTTGTCTTGAGGAAGTTGTTGTCTTGAGGAATTTGTTGTCTTGAGGAAGTTTTTGTCCTGGGGAAGTTGTTGTTTTGAGGAAGTTGTTGTCTTGAGGAAGTTGTTGTCTTGAACGGCCTCTTTGTGTGGTGAATGTCCGGGGTGGTGTACTGTACTGTATAGGTGTTAGTGTTGGCAGTAGTGTTGATCAAGGAAGGTTTAACCCTGTAGCAAAGGACAAGAAGTGGGCCTGGTTACCACAGTGCTAGACAACAACTGTGTTCGGCTCCTGGTAATGAACGGGCAGGAATGGAGAGTGTACAGGATGAGATTGAAGGCCTTCGTTGATATCTCTTGGGTGTTAGCTAATTGTCATACTCGTTATCTCACTGGTTGACTTGTTATTTTTACTGGTTGACTTGTTATCTTTACTGGTTGACGTGTTATCTTTACTGGTTGACTTGTTATCTTTACTGGTTGACTTGTTATCTTTACTGGTTGACTTGCTATCTTTACTGGTTGACTTGTTATCTTTACTGGTTGACTTGTTATCTTTACTGGTTGACTTGTTATTATAAAAAATGTTTGGGGTCTACTTACTTTACTCAGTCTGGGTGGTACTGTAGTTACTAAAGGAGAGGGGGAGGGGGGGGGGGGTCACTTGACTCTATATACATTCTGGTATCCATCCGTCTGTTACTGGGGGGACCTTTTGTTTTAGATTAATGTATTAGTTAGGAAGGGTAGTGGAAGGACATATCTTCCATTTTAAGTTTATTGAGCAACGACGTGAGGTAAAATGGAGCGCCTTATACACCCGCAAAATTATAGGAAAACATTAAGTACACATTAGCGAGCCTTCAGTATTGACGGTCGCCGGGCCACACACAGGAACCTCACACCCACACTTCAACAGCCAAACTGTCTGTGTTTTTCTAACACTGCCTATCCTGCTGTCGAACAGGCCTTTTCAGTCTCCAATCAGAGTAGGGCTTTTTTCCATGGGTCCTTACGTTCTGTTACCCTGATTGGTTGGCACACTATATGGGCGGGGCTATATCCATGGCATCCCATATTGGTTTACATGTTATTCTTTGAGGCTGTAACCAATTGTATCCATCCGGCCTGACAATTGCCATAAACATTGTAACGGTCGTTCACATGAGTGTATGGGTGCCGGCTTGTGTGTATGGGCGTCGGTCTGTGTGGGTGTTCCTGTTTATTACATTATCTTTACTAGTTAACTTGTTATCGTTACTGGTTGACTTGTTATCTTTATTGGTTGTTTTTTTATCTCACTGTGGTCGACTCGTTATCTCACTGTGGTCGACTCGTTATCTCACTGTGGTCGACTCGTTATCTCACTGTGATCGACTCGTTATCTCACTGTGATCGACTTGTTATTACACTGTGGTCGACTCGTTATCTCACTGTTATTGACTCATTACACTGTGGTCGACTCGTTATCTCACTGTTATTGACTTGTTATTACACTGTGGTCGACTCGTTATCTCACTGTGGTCGAGTCGTTATTACACTGTGGTCGACTCGTTATTACACTGTGGTCGACTCGTTATCTCACTGTGATCTACTCGTTATCAAACTGTGGTCGAGAGAGAGAGAGAGAGAGAGAGAGAGAGAGAGAGAGAGAGAGAGAGAGAGAGAGATTAACTTTAAGACTAAACAATGATATCATTTAGAGTCAGTAGACTAGGTGGGTCCGGAAGAGGATTATGCTTAGTGGACTTGTGTACTGGTGGTGTGGCTGAGGCTTCCAGAGGCAACTCAACTGGCGGATCGGGGAGAGCGGTGAATGTTGGGGAACAGTGTTCATGCGAAGCCAAGCCTCTCTCAGTGTCTTGGCCTTGCGTGATCTTGAGCGAACGATGCTTTTTGATTCGTGGGAGAGAGACACTCTTTGTGGTTTTGGGGCTCATGGGATCTTTTAGGGGTGGGGTGCGTTTTTGGAGAGGGAGTGTGTTCTTTACTTGGGTCTCCTCGAGGATAAAAGGCAAGAGTTCTGGAGGCGCTGGGAGTGATTCTCTTGTTTCTTTTGGAGTTGTGACTGAGTTGGGTACAAGAGGCATATTCTTAGGAGGATCGGGGAGAGATGGTGAAGTTCGTTCGTCCGTAGAAGAATATACAGTTGAAGTGAAAGGCAACTTATTTCGAGTCGCAGGAGATAATTTGGTTTCTGTGAGGCGTCTTGAAAGAAGGGGACTGGGCAGTACTAAAGAAGGTAACTCTGTAGTTCGGGGTTTTCTTGAAGGTGTGATGTTGGCATATGTATTAGATACTGCAGAGACTGAACGCATAGTGGAACTGGTGGTAGGAATGGCGAGCGATCTATATGACCCAGACTGTTGGCAGGGTATCTGGCTGAGTGGTAGCTTCTTATCTACCAAAGTTGGGGTTGAAATTTTCAGAGACATTTCGGTTGGCGAAGGTGTATTACTAGAGAAGGAGTAACATGGAATTGAGCAGGACGATTCTATAGACAAGTCGCCTTGATGCGCTTGGTGGATATGGTCGCCTTCGATGTGTTCCTTGGCGTCTGATGAGCAGGGCTTCTTTCTCTGTATGCCTGAACCGACAGAAACATTATCTGAGTCTGGACAAGAAGAAAGTGCTTTAGCCTTGAGATCACAGTATTTCCCAGTGGGTTTCTCGGGTATTTCGCATCGTCTTTTATTGGATCGTTTCAGCTTTAGCACTTTTCCGATAATATCCCCATGTTCTTTAGACTTCCTGTTTTTACAGCGTTCATTTGGTTGTCCAATATTTTCTTTAGCGTTTGGATGAAGTGACGCGATTTGGGCCAGTAGATGTCTGCTTTCTTTCTCCCGTAGTGTGATTATTTTTGTAGGTGGAGGGGGTTTAACGCATGGTCTGGCAGCCGTTCTTTTGTTCGACTGTATGGGGGCCACTGTTGTCTCAGGCGCGGGGGAACCTTTTACTTCTTTCTCCTCGTTCTTTAGAACTCTGGACTTTCGGGGAATCTTGCACTTCTTGACTTGGAACAGTCTCAAACAGACTACCAAGAGCAATATAAGGAACAACACCGAGGAAATGGTAAGTACCAGGCAGCATGTTGTCAACCCATAATCTGAAAAGATATTTGAAACAGGTGACTTAGTGTTATTTGTGAAAAGAAAAATATGCTGTACAAGTATTAATTCATTATAACAAGTAACTGGTTAAGTGAGCCACATGCCCAAGATAGCTCACTGGCACTGGCCCCCTTCCCAAACTAGCCTATCTTAACCACCACGGTTGGGCCCATTTACTGCACCGTACAGTATATTGGACCCAATACCAGAGGCCCCGTTTCTAATGGGTCTCATCCCAGCGGCCCTCACTATCAATGGGCCTCAGCCCTAAGAGATCCCAATGTTAATGGGACCCAACCAACTGGTTAGATTTGGTTGAAGTCAGGGCTGTTATATTTAAATCACGTGATTTAAATCGATTTACAGGGCTGTAAATGGGTGAAAAATCATGATTGAATTAAAAAACTAATTGAAATTTATGTTTTTCCTTGAGATTCTTTGTGGTAGTAGTGTAGTTGCAGTGGCTATTATACAACTACAGTATTTGGGATGTATTACGGGGGGGGGGGGTTCACGTTAAACGTTGCACCGATATATAGGGTGTCCATAAATGATTACCCTGATTAAAGCATTGTCTACCACTGTTTTTAGGGTAAGCCTTTATGTGGACGCCCTGTACATCATTCCACACACACGGCGCTAATAAATAGAGGAAGAAATTTTCATTATAAGTCTTTTGATTCATATATTGCTACGTCGACTGTATCATCCACTGTTTTATACTAAATATGTGGGTTTCCGAACTTGACGCATAAATAGTGTTAAAAACATGTGATACAATGTAAAAATAACTATGCTAAGTAAATAAGTGCTCTACAGGTGTTTCTCATTCAACTGGGACAGCCAGAAGAAAATTGTACATGTAAATCACTTCTAGGGATTGTTAATGCTTATAGTATAAGGCGTGTGTTGTGTTCATCTCACCAAGAAGTTAAAATGGCAATTATTTCATCATGTAAATTATATTGCTAATTATGTCTTTGATTAATGGAGGTATCGTTAATCACACGTTATAATTTATGAGTTTTATGTCAAGTTAATGGATACCTCTGGTTCTTAC